CTATAGTTTTCATCATACAGATCTCCTATATCTTTGGTTAGGTTTATTCCTAGGCATTTTATGGGTTTTTGTGTAATTGTGAATGGGATCAGTTTCTTGATTTCTCTTTCTGTTGCTTCATTGTTGGTGTATAAAAATGCAACCGATTCCTGTATGTTGATTTTGTATCCTGCAACATTGCTGAATTCATGGATCAGTTCTAGTAGGCTTTTCTTTAAACTGATGCACTTTTTATTCTTAAATTCCCTTGAAAAGAAAACCATCATAAATGAAAATCCTGTTTCATTAGACATCAACAGTACCTATAAAATCACTATTTAAAAAGTGCAAATGGGTGCTGGGTGGTTCAGTCAGTTAGTTAAGCGTCTGACTTTGGCTCAGGTAATGCTCTCATGGTTCATGAGTTCACGCCCTGGCTCAGGCTCTATGCTGACAACTCAGAGCCTGAAGCCTGCTTCAGATTCTGTGTGCCCCTCCCCCTCCACCCCTCCCCTGCTGACATTCTGTCCCTCTCTCTTAAAAACAAATAAACGCTGGGGCACCTGGATGGGTTAGTTGGTTGAGCGTTTGACTTTGGCTTAGGTCACGGTCTCATGGTGTGTGGGTTCGAGCCCCGCATCGGGCTCTGTGCTGACACCTCAGAGCCTGGAGCCTGCTTCGGATTCTGTGTTTCCCTCTCTCTCTACCCCTCCCCTGCTCATGCTCTGTCTCTCAAAAATAAATAAATGTAAAAAATTTTTTAAATAAATAAATAAACATTAAAAGAAAATTTTTAAAAAGCAAGATGTAAATTTAAAACCTCTAGTTGTTGCATACTAAAGGCTCTTTGTTAGAGGCTTAGTCATTCTCATTTAAAAAATAAATCAAGATAAGCACATGTTAGCTTTAATGACACATTTTCATTAAATTGTAATTTTGAAAGCTCCTCATTGAAATACCAAATAAACTGAAAGAAAGCTGAAAAGTAAATAACATTCTCATTGAAAGTTTCAATCTTATTTAATGTCACTTTCCAGTACAGCCTTATGGAATCCCATACAATGCTATGCATCTCATCCTTTGGAAAACATTAATTTATCAGATTGCCCAGCCTCATTATTTCCTTTGTGAATTGCACCATTTACCTATGCCACTTATCTGGGAACTTAATCATAACATTTCTTACATAGTATTTAATTAGTTTGTATCATTTTACTGGGCAAATACGAGAGAAATTCTTAGGTTAACAAGTCGGAGTCACACACAAGTCATGGTTTAGCCAAATCAGAAATACAAGTTGACCCTTGACCAACATGGGGGTTGGAAGGGCTGACTCTCTGAGCAGTAGAAAACCCATGTATAACTTTCGACTCCCCAAAAACTTAATTACTAATAGTCTACTGTTGACCTTACAAGTAACACAAATAGTCAACACATGTATGTAATATGTATCATATACTGTATTCTTATCATAAAGTAAGGTAAAGAAGAGAAGATGTTATTAAGAAAATCATAAGAAAGGGCTCTGAATGACTCAGTCAGTTAAGGGTCCAACTTTGGCTCAGGTCATGATCTCACAGTTCATGGGTTTGAACCCTGCCTCAGGCTCTGTGCTGACAGCTCAGAGACTGGAGCTGCTTCAGATCCTGTGTCTCCCTCTCTCTCTGCCCCTCCCCTGCTCAAGCTCTGTCTTTCTCTTTCTCAAAAATAAATAACTCTTTTAAAAAGTCAGTAGGAAAAGAAAATAATTTATTGCCCTGCACTGTAACAAAAATTCCTGTATAAATGGACCTACACATTTCAAACCTGTGTTGATCTGGGGTCATCTCTAATGTCACATACAATGACTCAGCCAATGCTGTGTATAAGAAAATGATGAGGAAAACTTGAATTGGGCATAGTAAACTATTTTTAAGCAAATCGGTAAAGAATTATATATGGAATATATATGGGAATGTCTATCTATATCCTTTCTCCTTTCCTGTTGATGATATTTTCTATGTATAACTATACACAGTTACATATGCATGTATAGCTAGGAACACAATCTCCTTTATAATAAGATGATCTTTAGCAAAGTTATTTGCTGTATTGCTGTTTAAGCTTTCTGTTTTAAAAGATAATTGAGTAAAGTTTAGTTTTAGATTAATGTGGATTAAAGTTTAAAAATTGAGAGGTTCATTTGCATTTCATAAGACTTCCATTTCATATTATAGAATAAAACTCAACAAACAGATTTTAAGTTCCCAACCACTCTGGCTGAGGTTTTGGTCTTTACTAAATATTTAAATTTGAGAGTAGCTTAATAGAATGCACTACACTCATTTGCTATTTGACTTTTTTCACTTCACTATAGATCAAAGTTTAGACTTTTCTAAAAACATGTATTATGAAACTTACAAGTAAAATTCAGGAACAATTATAAATGTCTTCACATTTCATTAGTTCACACTTTAACCATGCGTTCATCTTTATTAAACTTTTATCCCCACAGAACTGAGTCCAAATTTGAAGTGCGAATGAAAACACTTCATTACCTTCAAAATAATATTTCTTTGATTTCATACAAAAAAGGCATATATTCTAGTTTTGATTAGATATTTAAGCTCTACCGGATTGTCCTCAAAATAACAGCGTATTATGCATTCATACATAAAAGTCTGGACCTCTTAGTACACGCAATATAAAGATTTTGAGTTAGTATATGCTATTAATTTGATTCATCTAAACCTTAAGACATAATTAATTTGCTTTAAATGACATGTCCTTATAAAATTATTATGCATTTCTGAAGGCTGATTAAAAAAAACTTAAATACAGAATAGTCAGGTTTTGTCTGATACAAGTTTAAAGTTTTCTCATTCTTAATGAAGCCTATCAGCAAGAAAGGTTATGACCTGATATTAATACTAAGAGGAACAAACAGTTTTAATTGTCTTTGTATCCTAATCCTCCAGCAGCTGATAAATATTTTAACTGCATCTTCCAAATACAGCATTATGCCATGTTCAAAGATATTTTAACTAGTTATCAAAAACAGACATTAATTACATAAGCTCTCCATTCAGAGTGGGTTCGTGGATAGAAAAACTGCCTAGTTTAGTAGAAGAGGATGGACATTAGAATGAACACACCTGATTTATAATCATTGTCCCCGTTTTGAGAAAGTAGTTTCACTTTTCTCAACTAATATTTGTAGATCTGAAGAATGGTAATGATGTCTCCCATGCAGACATCAGTAAAAGTATATGGAACTAACCATAAGAGTTTGCTTCATGGTAGCTATGATTATCCAATCATAGCTATTTTAAATAAAACAATTTAAAATAAATTTTAAATAAAATTATTTATTTTAAATAATATTAAATAAAGCATTCAATTCAATAAAACAATAAACATTCAATAAAAACATTCAATAAAACAAGCAATTTTAAATAAAACATTCTTTTTCCTTAAACATTGAATTCAGGTAAGTAGAATTTGTCTTCTTTGTTTTTACTGCTATTTCCTATTCTCACTCCTTCATTCCACGTTTTTACTTGAGACCTGGTGGTAGGTACTAGAATCGCGGCTCTGAATAACACCAGCAATCTCTGTCCTCATGCAGGTACATTCAACTGTGAGCACATTTTAAAAATGTCCCTATAGTAATAAAAGGACTGTTGAGCAAATGAAGCCGAGTGGCGGACTAGTTTGAAGGGAAATAAGACCACTTTAGGGGAGGTGGTGGGAGAAGTCTTCTCTAAGTGGTGAGGTCTGAGCAGAGTCAAGAAAGATAGAAAGAAGGCAGAGGGTAACTTGAGAGAACACCCAGGCACAGGGAGAGCGAGCAGAGACGGCCGGGGCAGGAAGAGAGCCATGATGTTATTTACCAATCAGAGTGGAATAGGGGGCCATGTCTAGTAAAGGCTACATCCATAGTAAGAGGAGTAGGGAGCCATTAGCGTAGTGAATTTAAATAGATTTTTCCAGGTGGCTATTGAAGGTACTAGGGAGAGAAATTGGTGAACAGTAAGTAGCCAATTAAGTAGTGAAGATATTTGTAATATGTTTTGAAGCTAGAGCCCATAGGGCTGAGAAAAAGAGGAGAATCCAGAAAGGCTACTACTCTCTGGCTTGTGCAGCTGGAGGACAATGATACCACACACTGAACCAAGAAAGTGGGGAAAGAGGCAGGTATAAGGATACCGGTCAAGAGTTCTCTTATAAGCGTGTTAAATTCGAGTCGCTGATAGCCAGTCAAGTTAGTATACAAAGGGGGCAAATGGATATTTTAAACTATCACTATTGGGCTTTTAGTTATTTTAAAATCATTTTCTCTGTTTTTCACATGACAGATTTTGTTCATGGTACACACAGTCAAAGTTGTTGAAGTGATCTTTGATTGTAATTTTCTCAAGTAATTTTATTGTGGAAAGCTCATCTGAACTATATTTACCTTAAAGGAATTCCCTAAGTTTGAGAGGTTTCTGTCTGAACCATCCTGAATCTTTCTCAGGTCTGGAAATGCATCATATCTTAGTGGGAATATGACACATGACAGTGTCACTCATCAAGCCCCACCCAAAGGATTTGCAGTTGTCTGCATTTTCTTGGCTTATTGAGGGTGTGGAGTTGTACCAGATGCTCTAAAACAGGTTTCAGCAAACTGGGGCCCGTAGACCAAGTCTAGCATCCCATCTATTTTTGTAAGTAATGTTTTACTGGAACACAGCCCTACCTACCGTTTAGGTGTTATGTATGGCTGCATTCACACTACAATGACAAGTTGCATAGTTGCTATAAAGACTTATGACACACAAAGCCTAAAATATTTACTATGAGGCCCTTTAAGACAAAAAATAGCTGACCTTTGCTCTAAAGACTTTCTGTTTATGCCTCCTGATCTTATGATTTGAAGAAAAGTGGATCAGAAATGAAATAGGATCTATATCCATTTATGACCTGTAGCAATTGGGAGAGTAGATCTGACAGTCAACATTTCCTTTTAGTCATTTTCTTTTCTTTTCTTTCCTCTAAAGCTGAGAATCAGAGTTCAATCAAAACAACGGAAATACCAGGTAAGTGAAGTTTCTTCTCCCTGAGACCATTTATGAGAAAGATCCCCAAAATGAGATTAAAGAAGATCAGCCAGTGTGGGGGCAGGGGAAATAGTGAAAGGGAAAACATCACATGACAACTGACATGTTTAGGAGAACTTGTATTAAAAAGGAAAGAAATAAAATGCAGATCAGAACAAAGATGTGCCTGAATGTTCCGTGGCCAGAGTGAGTGGAACCAGTCTTGGTAAATGCACGAAGCCTGTGGAAGAGTCCTGTGCCCAGAACCCGCTGTTCCTGGTCTGTTTCTGTGGTTGGCATGCCCTCCCCCAGAAGTATAGCACGTCTGTGTCTGTCTTCTCTTTCTTCCCAACACAGCCTGATCCTGGCAGCCAGAGAGTTGGTGTTATAAACCACAGCTAACAGCCTAAAATATTATCAGTCCAAGAAGTGCTCATGTTTTGTTATCCTAAGTTTTAAGCTGAATACATTTAGGATGATGGCGCAGCAGAAATGGAAAAAGATTGTTGGGAAGGGGCAGATGGTACCATTGAACCCTTCTGGTGTTTTGAAATGGTAATTATTCGGGAGACTTTTATCTTCCTACATCCTTCCTCATACTTTTATAAATGCTAAATCTCTTAGGCTCTCAATCTTGGTCACCTTTGGTGTATATAAAAATATGTGAAATAAACTTAGAAGATCATGTAACTTTTTTAAAAAGTCAGAAAAATAAAGCCGTGGAAATTATGAGCAACTCCATTTTCACAGCAAAAGAACTAAATAATTATCATAGTCTACCTTCTGTATTGTGTCTTCAAGGAACTCAAACCTGAAAGGATTATGCTGTTAACATTTAATTATTTATCTTCTACACAATATATTTCATGATTTAAGAAGTTATGTTTATATTAATTCTCTTTATTTTGCCATGTCACTATATTTTTTTAATATTTATTTCCATTTGCATAGTCTAAAATGCACTAAAAAAACAGTAGGAAAAACAAAGCAAAACAAAACATAAAAATGGTGCATCAATTGGCTGATAATTTGTACTGTTCTGGAAAAGTCCTTCCCTTCTGTTTCAGGGACTAGTTAATCAGGAGAAGTTACAGATGGAAAGAATTGAAAAGCTGCCAAAATCATTAGTTCCTTTTAAGGAGAAATTGAAGCATCCTTTTAGAGATGAATTTACAAAATGCCAGCTTTAACTATAGTTGATTTTTAACTGTAATAGGAAGCCCATTTACACTAGTTATATTTTGAGTTACAGAAACCAGTTCTAAAACAAATAATACACACATCATTGATTTGAACAATGGACTAAAAAGAAATGAAACTGATTTCATAAACTATAAGAAAAGCCAGTCTTTAACTTCAAAGATACATGTTATGGGCAGAAACTAAGTCCAGACTCACTCAAAAAAAAAGTCTAGTAACAAGGTATTAATTACATATCTGTTGACAACAGTAATCATTTGTGTGTTCAGTCACTTGTTATCAAGGTTGTTCAAATACTAAATTATGAAACAGTTTGATCAAGAATATAATGAATGATAGGCATCTTACTTGAAATAGTATTTCTTTTTTAGGTAGAAGTTGAGGTAGAATACTAGTCCACAGAATTATTAGTGCTGTTTCCTTTTTATAAATATGAGATAATATGGATCATATATAGTTCTCACATTGGGCATTTGCTTACAAATTATACATCCAGCTTTCATTTTCTTAGAAAAAAATATTTTTAACGCTGACTTCAAAAACTATTATTAAGGGTATATCAGTTGATGATTATTTTACAAAAAGACTTTCTTGGGAATTCAAAATGAGTAAGACAATGTACATAAAGCATCAATTCTAAGAAATTGTACATAGATATGATGTCTAACATTATATAATAAAGAAAAATAGTCATAGTTATAGGGAAATGATTGATCAAGTTCTGAAGACATGTCCATTCATTCCATTTAAAAGAGGAAAGGTAGTATGAGGTGGATTGTTGTGTTCAACAATGCTAAGCATGAAGAATTCATGCTTTATGTCTAAAGTATATAGAAAGGTCAAATGTCAACTGCCCACTGTAATATATATGGTAAGACCACAAATTTAGTATAATACTCTACTAAATACACAGAACCGTATATTCAACCAGCCACCACTAACCAGAGCATTTAATAAATAGTCCTTCTGTTCTATTACATGTAACACTAGCTAAGAGTTGTGAGTAATACATGGAGCTTGCCTTTAAGGGTTACCAAGAAAGACTAGTCAGCATGGTAAATAACTGTAATAACTCTAATAGCCATATAGGTCCACAATGATATGTCATAGACAAACTTCAAACTTCTTAACCATATGTTAAGATTGAGGAGGGAGAAAAATTTTTCCCCGTTAGCTGTGGTTGTGTTCTATATCAGATTTAGGAAAGCAGTTTAAGAAAAATGAGAAAAAGGTTCACAAAAGAAATGACCGCCTAGCTTCCAGATTATTCTGCCTACTCATTTTTCTAGCTCTGAGTTCAGAGCTAATGAGGAGATGCAAAGAAAAAGTGATGCAGAGCTATCTATTTCCTAGAGATAGATACAGGAATTATGTGGCCATCACAACAATTTTAATCAGTGATGGAATTCACTTTTCTTTAGCCTTATCATTTTTCCACAGACAAGCAGAACTGATAATGTGTCCTTGAAAATGAAACTCTTGATTTCTTTGATAAGAAAAATGGACCAACATACCTTGGGGCATGGGGAAAGAAATAAACCTGTTGCCCTCAATTTTCTGGAAAATACAACTATACTACTCAGGGTTCTCCAGAGAAACCATATATATCTATGTATAAAGATTTATTATATGGAATTGGCTCATGCATTTTGAAAGCTGAGAGGTCCCAAGATCTGCAGTCAGCAAACTGAAAGCATAGAGACCCAAGAGAGAGGACTGTGTAGTTTCAGTCCAAGGCCTGAGAAACAAGAGAGCCAATGGTTAAATTCCAGATGGAAAGCCAGCCGTCTCAAGACCCAAAAAGAGCCAATATTTTAGCTTTGAGTCCAAATGCAGGAAAAGACCAATGTCCCAGCTCAAAGCAGTGAGGCAGGAAGAATTTGTTCTTTACTCTTTCCTTTTTTTTAAAAAAATACTTTTATTTATTTTTTGTGAGAGAGAGTACAAATAGAGGAAAGGAAAACAGAGGAGGACAGAGGATTCAAAGTAGGCTCTCAGTTGACAGCTGAGAGCAGCAAGCCCTGCATGGGGCTCAAACTCCTGAGCCACAAGATGATGATCTGAGCTGGAGTAGGACGCTCAACCGACTGAGCCACCCAGGTAGCCCACTCCTTATTTCTCACTGAGAGTGAACTTATTTATTCTATTCAAGTCTTCAACTAATTGGATGAGAGCCAATCCATACTGGAGAGCAATCTGCTTTATTTAGTCTACTAATTCACATGTTAATATCTTCAAAAATACACTCACAGACACTTCCAGACTAGTGTTTGTCCAAATATCGGGAAACTCCATGGCCAAGTCAGCTTGGCACATAAAAGTCATCACTGCAACAACATTCCCATAATAGACAGCACAATTTGGAAAGATCTCATTGTACTCATCTTCTTTGCTTTCTTTAACTGTGTTTCACGACCTCAATTGCATGGTAGGCATTAATTTTGATGGAAAATTAGAAGTCAGAACAGACTTTGCAAGTCCCACCAAACCTGACCACTGGCCCTTGGCAACGAGGATGTCCCATCCTGGCATATTCAATGTGCTCAGCACCCTATGTAATGGCTTGAGAATTGGTTACTGACCTCTAGAAATTCATATACTGTAAGCATTGACCATTCTATACAGAAGGTCACTTATCTGAGTATTACAACTCTGAAAGACAGAATCCTGACACTATTGTTCAGAACAGAATCCACTTGAGCTAGAGAAATATCTATAGCAAACCTAGAAGTTTATTGTTGTTCTTTTTGACTTGGAAATTTTATAATGTTTAAAAGATTGGTTGAGAATAAAAGAACTCACTAATGGGGCATGTCAATATTTATGTGGTAGGGTCTGCCATAAACTTTCACTTAGGAAATTGTATATATCTGGGAATAGCTAAGTGGTTTCTACTCTAGTTCAGAAATCTGCTGAGTCTCCAAGAAGGGCCTGTGCCTCTCTGGTCTATACAGTAGGTCAATCAGAACTCAGTCTCAACTGATTAGCTACCCAGCGTTCACTTTAAAAACCAATGCATTTCAATGTTATTGCTAATGGTGTGTGCCTTATAAACTCTACAACATGATTTATTTAATATATTAGGAATAATTCTCTCTCCTTGTATGTATCTGCATGATCTGGTTTGGCCTATTGAAGGAAGGAAGTGTTTAGTTTGTCTTGATGAGAAGAAATTTGTCTTGCTCGGAGTCTAAATTGAAATAGACTCTATTTTATGTAACAAAAATAGGAGACATGAACTTGTAACTCATTCCTGCGGAAATGCAGTCGCAGGCAGCATAGTCGTATTTGACAGCACAGACTCTGCATTCAAATCCTGACTCTGCCACCTACTCGCTCTGTGATCTTGGGCAAATCACTTAATCTCTCTGGGCTTCAGCTTCCACTTTGTAAAATTCAAATATTCACAACACAATAATTGAATGAGCTAATATTTGTAAAACACTTAGAATAATTCCTGACATATAGTATCCCAAAAGAATTTGAAAATAAAAATCCCATTTAATATTTTAATGTCTATATTTTGAAATGTTTACCCTCACTTTCTCAGAAAGCATAACACTGACATAGTTACATATTGTAGGGTTTCTCAGTGTTAAGTCATATTATCCAAATTGTGAATTTAAAGTAATACGATGTATCTGTGCTGGGGGAAGGGTAAGAGCATTCTAAACCTTTCAGAGTACTGAGAAAAAATGTCACTGACCTCATCGATAATGGTGCCATTAACAAGTAAGATGAACTAACCTCCCTTAAAATCTCTTGGTCATATGGTATAATGAGAAGGGAAAAAAAAGTTT